GGGCAGCTGATAAACCCTGGAGGCACTCTCTTTCCCCTTCCCTGCTTTCCCCGAGATGTTGTATTTGTCAAAATCCTCAAATGATCTCCTTTAATTTGGAATTGAAAAGAAATTATTTTATAACTGTAAAATGTGATACTGTCCTCTCCTAGTATGCTTCAAAGAGGCTGGTTTGGGGGTTACTGTCGTTTTAAAATTCTGAAAAATCCAAATGTGTCCACAATATTTCTACATACGCTGCTTCCATTTACTTTAATCCCGTGTCAAAAACTTTCGGGATCTTTCCAGTATCTGTGCTGATTTTTATATACTTTTTCTAGAAAGTCGAAGACGACACGATGCCGATCCGTCGCGCGGTGAACTCATCTTCCCGGGAAACTCCTCCCAAAAGCAAACCTGCTGAAGGTGAAGAAGTCAAAGCAGGTACGGTGATAGTTCTGTAGTGGATTGTTAATGTATATCCCAATATAGGCTTTTGTACTGAAATTCCTGAAAAAACCTTACTGCCATGATTTAAAATATTACTAATGCTTAGCTTCCTTTTAAGGGCTTTTCCTGGGTTATTGGGAAGTTGTATTTTACAGCCGCTCTTTTTGGTCTGAACCCGTTTGTTTTGTCCTTCCTAGCCCGTGGCAAAGCCCTGACACTCCGGGCAGGAAGATATGACTAAATATAGTCCTTTTTAGGCTTGCGCCTTCTTTAGAGTGAAGGTAGAAATTGTGACGTTTCAGTAGTGTCAGGAAGGTGGCTTGAGATCAGAAGGTAGAGTCAATGAGTGGAAAAACAAAATATTTAATTTTTTTTCTTGCTTTTCCTGAACAGAAGGCTTTTACCACAGCGTGTCATAAAATCCAGTCCAATATTAACGTGTCTGGTCTTGACACCTTCCCCTCAGTTTCGCAGAATGTGTCATTTCAGTATCATATTTGGTTCCTTTCACTGACTTTGTCCTCTTTGGTGTCACAAATAAATACATTGCGTATGAAACTAACTATTAATACCCTCTGTGTTTTAAATGCGTGATGTCTCTGTGGGAAAACTATGCACAGGAACGTAGAAAGAGTGCCTAAGCTCCTTCTCAGAGCTAGAGAACCTGTCTACTGCATGGAGCAGTTATGGTAGACAGCTCTTCATCCAAAAAGTAGGTAATGGTAGTTTACATCCATCTTATCTAGCAGGCAGCCCAGTCCCTAAGCTATTCTCAGCTAAATATACTGGAGTTGATTGGCTTGGTAAGTTGGTTTCTGACTGGATTCGATGCTGCTGACAGACTAGTGCTTCTGCAAGGGGCACATGCAGTCTAAAGCTTTGCCAAGTCTGGAAAAAACGGGATTGAATGGTTGAAGGCCTTCAGGTGCAGAAACAGCGGTGTTTGAAGACAAGTTGGTCATAAACAAAGCTGCTTGTATGTATCTGTCCAAATTTCTAGAGATGTATGTTTTTGCACCTCTCTGAGTTAAAAACACATGAACCTCAACATGGGGAGAACCTTAAGTGTTTCATGGCGCTGATTTCCTCCTCCCTTCCCCACCCAGGCCTCTTTGATGAGGGGTGATTGCAACAGTAACTTCTGGAGTTGAGACCACCAGGGTTATCAGTTCATTGTGCAAATGCTACAAGATGTTGTTTGAAGTTACTCAGGCTCTTCTGATTGCACCTTCTTGAACCTCTTTTCAGTAGTTTGTTCACTTCTTCAGTTACAGTCAAATCATCTGTTTAAATTAGAGAAAAGAAGTTGTCTGGTGGGAAATAATTTTGGGGATGTGTTCTTAAGCTGCTTTTTTTTTTTTTCCCCCTCTGCCTTCCTGAAGAATAGAGGCTGGTTTTAGGCAGTAACTTGATGCGTTTTCACATCTTTTAGATGCAGAAGTCACTTCTGAGGAGTCTGCCTCTGTTGGAGAAGAGCAAGAGAATGAAACCCTGCCTCCTGCATCCAGTGAAGCAGAACAGCCAAAGGAACCTGAGAATGAGGGGAAAGGGGAAACAAAGTCCTCAGAAGAAACCAAAAAGGAGTAAGGCTTGCTTAGTGCTGAATTCAGGAATTTGGGTAGGATTCTGAAGGAAGTCAGGTTCTAGAGATAAAAAAAGATGATGGGAGAGATGGGGGAAATAGGATGGGTCCCTTAAAAAGGTGCTCGTATTTCCCCGGAAGAAGCTACCAATAAAGTGTAGCTGCTATTCTAGAACATGTGTGAGACCAAATATCAAGATAGGGTCTCTCTTTTCTTAATAGGAACACTAAAATGTTCTTTAAATTACTTTCAGTGTCAGATGTTCTGGACTTTGTTGTTGTTCTGCTTGTTGGCTTGTTTTCCAGTGTCTTTTGTCTTACTATTGCTTTGTATTTTTCCTAAGTGAGAAGGATCAGTCTAAGGAAAAGGAGAAGAAGGTGAAAAAGACCATTCCTGCATGGGCTACCCTCTCTGCTAGCCAGCTAGCTAGAGCACAGAAGCAAACTCAGATGGCTGCCACCTCACGTCCCAAAATGGATGCTATTTTAACTGAGGCCATCAGGGTAAGCAGGAGACAAACCTTGATTTTCTTGATCTGTCACAAAGCAGGATCATTTGCGCACCTAAAATCCACAATTTCAACTTGCTGGTGGTACAGATGATAGTGCTATTAGCAGGAAAGACATATATGCCTCTGCCTGGAAGCCCATGGAGCTGAAATGTGAGTCCATGATGATGATGAGGGGCCCTAGAGCTTACTTCTTTGTTTAGAATTTGTTTCCCTCCCTAATTACATTATTAGAAACCGCTATCATGACACAACCTGGTTGATTGCTGCCATCATTTAATCTGGTGTGCCTCCTGGTGTGCCTCCTAGCCATGTTTAGCTTGGTTTACTTTGATTAATCCATCTATTTGATACGTGCTTTTTTCAGTATTCACTGAAAATACAGAAATTCAGATGGAAATACTGCAAACTTGCATTCCACAGTGGTGTTGGTCTCGCTTTACTGTATCCCTCCTCGTTGTAAGAAGAGACCTGTGCTGTTGTAGTTGCACTGCAACACCGCTGCTCTCCCCTTGAGGCTCGAGGAGACCTGGACTCCACCAGTCTTAGCTGCTAGATGGCCTTCCAGCTGCTATATCTTCAAAATATAAGCTTCAGCTTCATTTCTTTACTAGTTTACTAATGTCAATCCTCCATCTTCTTAAAAAAAAAAAAAAAATTAGCAACTTGTTCTGACTTAATGACTACTCTGACATTAATAAAATGACTTACCAGTTGTGCAGTGTTGGTCTCTGTTCTTCCAGGCCTACACCAAGATAATGGCCATGCACGTGGTTTCTTGTAAATTTTTTGCTTCTGTTTCAGGCATGCTTTCAAAAGAGTGGTGCCTCAGTCGTTGCGATACGTAAATACATCATCCACAAATACCCTTCCCTGGAGCTTGAGAGGAGAGGCTATCTTCTAAAGCAAGCGTTGAAAAGGGAGCTGGAGAGAGGCATCATCAGACAGGTGAGCATTGCTTCGTGGAGCAGCACTGGAGGGGGTGTTACTCAATTACATAGGTGGTTTTTAAACTCTGCTAGCAGGTCTCTGAGGTGATCGTGTTCTCCCACGTGGAGGTTCATCAGCCTCTGTCTCCGCTTTTAGACGCTGACAAAATTTCAGCATCGTTCTGTCAGTCGGACGCTTTGCACGGTTGTCTTTTGTGCAATGTGTGACCGTTTCTTGGTGTTGTGTCATACGGCATTGCAACAGTGCGTGTCTTCAAACTGGGTCTAGCAGTGTCACTTCTGCAGCAGCATGTTGCTGTTGGCACTGTAATTTATGCCTGTGGTATCTGTTAGGGTATCCTGTAGGTATACGGGGCAGCAGAGTATGTTATTAATGTCTGGCTGTGGTTTCTGGTCTTACTGGAGTGTCAGCAGGTTCAAATGAGGCCTCTGCCATACCAGTCCCTCACCAGGGTGACAGCGCATTCAGCATCTGTCTAATGATGTCACTTAGTCAAGTTGTTCGTATTCTGAGTTACTTTGTTAAATGGACTTTCTTTCCAACTAGGTGAAGGGAAAGGGAGCTTCTGGCAGCTTTGTGGTGGTGTCTAATGCAGGAAAAACTGTTCCAAAAGCCAGAGACAGAAAGGTAAGATGGATCATTTTAAACAACACTGTGAAAAATCTTTGTGGGTTGCACTGAAACACATGTATCTTACAAAATGCAGCCTAACCCCAACCCAAACAGTATTCTCCTCCTAGCTATACTTTTCCTCCCCAATCAAAACACCTGTTCCACTAAAATCAGAATCAGAAAGCTAGGATGAGAAATTAAAACCAAGTAGAATAATCAAAGTCTTAGTTTTAAAATGTTTACGTTAAACCCCTAGGCTTTGGTTCAGAGGCAGAAAGCCGAATAACCATGAAGCTCCTCTTCTGTCTTTACCTGGTAGAGAGATGCCTCTCAGGTATTGTAAGAGAGCTTTGTGCTGCTGCTCTTTCTGTTGTGTCCGTCGCGTGGATAAATGGAAGGTTTCAGTCTTCAGGACTGCCAGAGGAACATTTTTTTCCATTCAGCTGTGAGGGCAGAGGGAGGAAGAAGAAAATGTCCTTAGGTTTCTGGAAGAAAGCTGCTAATATTGGGTGTATGTTGTTCTGAGGTAGTAAAATGTGATGTGTTTTGGGGTTTGGGGGTTTTCTTGAACCTAGTCCTCACGGTTAGTCGTAGTTCCAGCACCGCTGTTCTCCGCTCCCTGCCACGCTGGGGGGGTGAAACACATCTCTAACGCTGCAGTTACAGAATGCTTAGCTGGAATTGCCAATCCCCTTGCAGCTTAGTTGAACCCAGAGAGTATTTTAACACCTTGATGTTAAAGGTGTTAACCTTTAACACCTCTCTTGGCTACTGGGGAGACCAAAAACCCTGAAACTAAGGAAAACAGTGACACACTTGGTACTAAGGGCACTGAAGGAAACTAATTGCGGTCTAACAGGTTGCCCAGAGAAGCTGTGGCTGCCCCATCCCTGGAAGTGTTCCAGGCCAGGTTGGATGAGGCTTTGAGCAACCTGGTGTAGTGGAGGGTGTCCCTACCCATGGCAGGGGGGCTGGAACTGGATGGTCTTTGAGCTCCCTTCCAACCCAAACCATTCCATGATTCTAACTTCTTAAATAGAGCTCACTGGCTCCACGAGAAGTCTGAGCAAGGCACCTGATAGCTGCCAACACATCACTGGGTTTTGGTCTGCAGCCTATTGGTGTCTTTGTTCCTAGTTACTTTCTCTGCGTTGCAGCAAAACAAAGAGTTTGTTGTTGGTTTTGGTAAATTCAGCTAGCAGTTGAGCAGCACCCTCACCCCTTTGGCCTTTTGCAAAGCTGCTGTTCTGCATCGAAATCATTAAATTTTAGCACATTTCCTCACTGTCATTTCTATATAAAGAACAGACCATTTTTTTGTCTGATCATCCCCTCCTCATGGTAATAAAGTGATGGAGGAAAATTCAGGAGAAGAGAGTGTTGGCTTCAATCAAGATTTCTTTCTGTCAGGTGAAACAAAAAAAATGCACTCCTGTTTAGCTGTTCGTTTTTGGGAAGACTTGACCTGTGTAAACAGGTCTTGCCTTTGGGTTTTGTTTTATGTCACCGTGCATCATTTTCACCCTTCACCATTGAAGGGCAGCAAAGGAAAATGACTGTAAAAAGAGGAAGGAAACCATTGAAAACACAGGTGGTGTTAAACACTCAGCAATTTGTGTTTGTAAAACTGTCCTAAGACTCCTCTGAAAATTCCAGGCAAATGTGGTCAATTTTACTTAAACTGCTGAACTATCTAAATTGTTAATTTAAAGAGCTGCCTTACAGAACTTGATTTTCCAGATCTGTGGCCAGTGTCAGGAGCAGTTCTCCCCACCCGTGCGTTGCTGGTTCAGAAAACCCGGAGTTTTAGGCCCCACTGATGCGTAAAAGTATGTGTATTTCAGAAAAGCCCCTCCGCTTCGACTGCAGAGCAACAAGTCAAGCTGGAAGATGTCCTGCCACTGGCTTTCACCCGCCTTTGCGAGCCGAAGGAAGCTTCCTACAGCCTGATCAAGAAATACGTGTCTCAGTATTACCCCAAACTCAAAGTAGATATAAGGTAGGTGCAGGAACGCACTCTTGCAAGCAGAGCTGCAGCGGAGCAGGGAATTGCAGCCTTCCTCTGGCTTTGCCTGGCTTCACGGCGATTCGGTTCAGTATTTCAGCAGGCAGGTGGTGCTCTGAGTTGCAGAGCCTTGAGGAAAAGCCGTGCCTTTTTCTGCATCCCTCCACACCCGATCTTTGTTCCCGATGCCAACATCGGCACGGCTCTACGCATCTCCGGCCTGAACCGAACCCAGATCCCTTTAGCTGCGTGGATGTGAAGGCCTCTCCTTGGGATCTTGTCCCGCTCGGTTCTGGATGCTTTAACTGCAACACGCTTGCAGTAATCTTTAATTTTGCCCGTACGGATCTGGGAAAACTGTGCGTCGCCTCTTAGAGGGGCTTGTGCTCAGTGCCTTGTTTGTCTGCGAGCTGGCTGACTCATTGCCCACCGAGTCCAAACGTGCTTTTCAAAATGCGTAAATCCTTCCAAGGGAGCCTGTTGGTCTCTGGCTACGCAGTGACACCGAGAAAGGGTTGCAGTTGAGTTTCCGCTAACGTGCGTCGTTGTTCTCGTGTAATCAGCACTTGCTGACAGATCTCCGTTTAGAACGTCTGTACGTAGGCAGATACCGCTTGTAAGTACTGCTCCGCTCACGCTCCGTGTAAAGCGTTGCTTCTCTGTTTGTTTTTGAGCTGTCAGTGTGTGTCAGTAAAGCTTTATCCTCCTGTGTTTCAGGCCTCAGCTGTTGAAGAACGCCCTGCAGAGAGCTGTAGAGAAGGGCCAGTTAGAGCAGATCACAGGCAAGGGAGCGTCTGGGACATTCCAGGTCAGAGCCAGAGCTCGTCTTCTTTTGTTGACTACACTGACCACAAGCCTTTGGATATAATTTAACACCACCTCTCCTCCCCTACACCAGTTTCACTGGGTGCACCTTTCTTTAGCAGCCTGTCATATTCAGGAGTTGTCAAACTATGAAGCAGTAGGACTCTTATTCTCCTCTTGGTCTACATTCCTGGAGCAGAACCCCCCCTGCTTTCCTTGCCCAGCGTGCTCCACACACTGCTCCAGCTCTGACTCACTAGCACAGTAGGGGAGATGGAGGGGTAAGCTTTCCTTTCCATCACTAATTACAAGTGCAGTAGGTACCCCAGATGCCTGCAACGTCTTTTTCTCATGTCTGTGCCACAGGAGTCTCTTGGGCACATTTGGTCTGTGGGATGAAGATGTGATTTATTTCCTTTCCTGAGTGATAGGCCCTTAGATTGCCACATCCTGCAGTGTGTTTGGGGACGAGGACAATGCGTTGCTGATTAAAAAGCACTCCAGGCCAGTTGACTGAATAGGCCTGTCCTCCCAGTTAAAGCTGGGAGAGCAGCGTTCCCTGTGCAGTGTTTTAATATAAAACATATCTGTGCTAATGCAGGAGCGCCGACCCACCTGGTGCAGAGGAGCTTGTCCTGACCTGGTTTGGGAGAATTTTGTCTTGATGCTTTTCTCTTCCTCCTTGGAAAATAGCTGAAGAAATCAGGGGAGAAGCCCCTGCTGGGTGGGACTCTGATGGAAGACGCCATCCTGTCTGCTATTGCGGCCATGAACGAACCGAAGACCTGCTCCACCACAGCGCTGAAGAAGTATATCCTGGAAAACCACCCAGGGACCAACTCCAACTTCCAGGGTAAAGTACTGATCTGTGTAACTCTCTTCTCTTCTACGTGCTGAGAGAGAGATCTGCAGCTGCAGCACCTTTAAACTTTTCCCTTGAGCTTGCTGGAGAGCTGACAGCTGCTCAGCTCTTTGTGCTGCAGAGATGCTCCATGTTTTTAATTCCTGTTAGTTTCTTTCAAGCCTGACAAAGACGAGTTTCTGAGACATAATGCATGTTTCTCTTGTCTACAGCATGTTCCCAGGAAGGGGGAAGAGCATCCAAGTAGTTTATTGTTCTTAAATCACCAAGTTGAATTCATCTGTGTCTCTCTGTTTTGAAAGGCTGCAGCTTGGCGTAAATGCAGTTCCTAGTTACTTTTTATTTGGAGCAGTTGCTTAGTCTAACTTTAAAAAAAAAACAACACCACCACAACAACAACTCACAAGCACCCCTTTTACTGATTTGTTTGAGGTCCTTCTTTGGCTCTGACTTTTAAAAGGTCAAGCAAGCGGGAAGAGAAACTAATCGTGTTGTATTTGGGAAGGGATTTGGCCTGTCTTCATTCCCAGGAATGACACTAATGTCTGTTTTGACTTTTGCACTAGCCAAAGCAATACTAACAGAGGCTTTAAAGCAGATCTTCTAATGGCTTCTTTACGTTATTTGGTCTGAGCCCCCGTGCAGTTGTTTAACGGAGGCTGGAGCTCATTTGAAGCAGGACGAGCTCGTAGGAGTCAAACCTAAAAGTAGGTGAGTTTGTGGTTTCACAGTGCTGGTGCGATCCCTCGGGACGTGGGGCCGGAGAGAAGACTGCTGCTCCAGCGTTCTTCACCTGGAGCCGGAGCACGGCGTGGGCACGGCTGTTTGGTGCAGGGCTCACTGACAGCACAGGCTCCCTCGCAGCAGTGTGGGATGAAGAAGCTGCCTGAGCCCTTCTGCCAGTTCCAGACTGGTGTCAAGTGTGACTTCTTAATCTTGGGGCAGGGAAAAGAGTTTCCAGGCTTGTTAAGCCCTCGCATGATTTATTTTCAGGACCACTGGAAATTGCCCTGGTCCTGTGTTTAGCCAGCCTCCAGTGTTTCATCAGTCTTGCAAGTCGGATAAGGAAATTTCAGCTTGCAATCTGTTGTTTTCTTTCTCCTCCCATTACATAAAAGGAATTTTGATGATCCCTGCTCTGTTTTAAGAGCAACTGAAGGAAGATCTGGTGAGATGGGAAAGCAGGCGGATATGCGCTGCAGAGCCAGTGCTCTGCGCTCTTCCCTGTTTTATACCTTCTAACTGGACTTAACTGGAATTAAATCCTTTACGTGTGGTACCCAGAATGAAAACAGCCTTCTGTTTCATGTGTTACTGCTGTTCATAGAAGTGTGGGGTTTCTAAAGACGACTAGAACTATGAGGATCCTAACGTTGCAACACAAGTAATTTAATGGATACAGTCAGCTCCATCAGCTGCGCAAGCTCCGCCAGTGCCGTTCACGGGGAACCATTTCAGCAGAGGTGGCCTGGGAGCTGGCGAAGGCACGGCGCTGTCCCAAAGGATCCTCTTGTCAGTTCTTGGCACAAGCCCGTTTCAGGAGCGTTGGGCAAGTGGTCGGAGTGAATACTTTTGCATTAATCGTGCAGAACAGATTCAGATGACAGCTCAGATTCAGATTTTTCTCTTTCCATTCCTCAAGTGAACCTCTTTGGAACATGCTTGAGGGCAGGCCTTGCTTTTCCCTTGGTTCGCAGGGAGTTAAATATGTCAAGGGTTCCTCTAATTCAAGCTGAAAATGGTTTTGAACTGACTAAACAACTTCAGCCCTTTGCCTGCACTTGGGCAGTTTTGGTTAGAATTCATCCGCAGTGCACAATGGAACAGGAGACTGGAATCAAAAGTGTATTTGTCATATTTCTAGACCAAATATTTCCCCTTTAAAAAAGCAAAACAAAACAGAAACCACAGAAGGAGGAAAGATGCACCAGCCAGCAACTGGACACCATGCAGCTGCTCGCTCACCCTCCTTCACCCCCAGGGGATGGAGAAGATCATCAAAGGGGAAAAGGGAAGGAGACTTATGAGTTTGAGAGAAGCACAATTCAATAATGGTTAATAAAATAAAATTAAAAGTAATAATGATAAAAATAATAATAATACATGATAGTATATGTTGTTATTATTTTTATATATTAACAAGTGATGCACAGTGTTAATTGCTCACCACTCACTAACAGCCAGCTCATCCTGGCAGGGGATCCTGAAAGAGAGAAGTCGAGTGTTCTGTTGGGCAATTTGGCCCTCAATCCTGAATCCAAGATCAAATCCTAAACCAGGAGTTGTGAGTCCTTTGTCCCAGCCATGCTCCCTCCCAGCTTGTGCTCCTGCACGCTGGCAAACAGGGGAAGCTGAAAAGTCCTTGATGTCTCGGCAACAGCTATAAACATCAGCGTGCTGTCAACACTCTTCCCATAACGAATCCCAGACTAAATCCAAAACGCAGAGCTGTTCTACCTACTGAAAAGAAAACTAACTGTCCCAGCCAAAACCAGAACCAGCCACACCTGAAATTTGGAACAGGAGGGCAAAAACATGGTAAAGACTTGTTTTAAAAAAGCACTTTGGAGAACAGGCTGAAGAAAGCTGAGACTTGGATCGAGTTTGTGGTCCTGTTGGATGCATTTATAAAGGAGGATCCCTTGATCGCAACATCAGAAACCTGTGCTGCTCTTGACTTCTTCCTTTGGAGAATTTATAACCACACCTGCTAAGTGTTCAGGAACAAACACTTGTGTCTTCTTCCTGAAAATTTAACTGCAAGAGGATTTCGCTTTAAATAAGACTGGAGAGGGACTTTTTGCAAGGACGGGTAGTGACAGGACACGGGGCAATGGCTTTACACTGAAAGAGGGGAGATTTCCATTAGATCTAAGGAAGAAATTTTTTACCATGAGGGTAGCAAGGCACTGGCACAGGTTGCCCAGAGGAGTTGTGGCTGCCCCATCCCTGGAAGTGTTCAAGGCCAGGTTGGATGAGGCTTTGGCCAACCTGGTGTAGTGGAAGGTGTCCCTACCCATGGCTGGGGGGTTGGAACTAGGTGATCTTGAAGGTCCCTTCCAACCCAAACCATTCTGTGATTCTCTGAGAAAATGTACTAAAACTTGTAACTGGAGTGCTCTAGCTGGGTCTCACACACAGCAGCTGCTCTTTGCTGAGTGCAGAAAGGAGCACGCAGTGATGTCCTCAGGATTCTCGGGTCTCCAGGACTGTGTCATTTCTCTGTAGGTGTCCTGGGCAAAGGAGACTCCATCCTGACTCTTCATCTCTGATTTCAGAGGGCACTGCAGAGAGCAGTGAGGTTAGACAAGTGGATAAAGACAGTAACACAACTTTTCTCTGATTTTTTTTTTTTTTTTTCCCCCCCCTCTCACAGTGCATCTACTGAAGAGAACGCTGCAGAAATGTGAGAAGAATGGCTGGATGGAGCAAATTTCTGGAAAGGGCTTCAGTGGAACCTTTCAGCTTTGCTTCCCTTATTATCCTAGGTAAAGAGCTTGGCTGTGAAACGATGGCCAGGATAAGCGCCGCGTAGGTCAGCCAGGTAGCGGTACTGACCTGTTTACAGGGAAGTTTGTGGAGGGTTTAATAACTGATGAACCATGACGTTGTCACCCGTAATAACGACGTTACCTGGGGGTCTGAGTGTGAGCAGATGTAAGGCTGACTTCATGAGCAAGGGAAGCTTTTAAAGACAATCAAAACGTTGGGCTCAGTATTCTCGGATACTCCGTCGCAACGCTTGTTTTGCAGGCTGGGAGCTACTGAGGTGTTCCCACGCTAAACCAAACTCACGTGAGCAGGTAGAGTGGTGTTCTTAACGCAAGGATGCTCCTCGAGAGTAGGACCCAGCCGGTGGCTTTGCTTAATGCTGCTGTGGAGGAGAGGTGGGAGGAGGAAAGACGACCTGGATTAGCTTCTGTGAGACTAAACCAGCCTTTAAACCAGCCTTTCTCCTCCTGCTGTGGGCGTACGTTGTGCTGGGCCACGCAGAGCCCGGCGATGGTGACATAGTGTCCCACGGAGAGCCAAATGGCAGCGACGTCCTTCAAGTCTCTGCTTCCCTTCTTTTATTGCAGACGTACAAAGTCCACGGTGGCTTCAGCCCGCGTTCGGAGCCACTGGAGTCTGATGTTGTCCCTTTGTTGTCTGCCTTCCTGTGTTTGCACAGAAGGAGCAACGAGGAGAGAACTGGAGAAAGGGCAGCTTAGGGCTGGGGCGTTCCTGGTCACGCTTGTGCCGTTGCGGAGACCAAATGACGTTGGTTTCGGATAGCGGCAAACGCAGAAGTTTTGGGGGTGTTTATGGATTAAACTCGAAGCCGTAGCCTTACGGGAGGACGGGCAGCAGTGCCTGATGACAGCCAGGGTTACCCAAGGCTTGCTGAGCCCGGAGTCCTACGTATCCTTAGAAATAAGTCACGCTCTGACAAGAACCCTCTTGTAGCCCAGATGTGCTCTACCCAGAGAAGCAGCAAGATGAGGACTCTGAGGAATCTGATGAGGAAGAAGAGGAGGAATCTGAGGAGGAAGAAGAATCTGAAGAAGAAGAGTCTGAGGAGGAAGAGCCACCACCAAAGAAGAGGTAAGGCAACAGGAGAGATAAACGGGCTCCTCTGGATGAAATACAACTGGCCGTCGCAGAGTGGGGGGGTTTGTGTCGTGCTGTGGTGGTTTGTCCGCGAGGCTGTTGTTCAGGGTGTGAGTTTCTAGTTACGGTTGAACTCTTGGGGCACTGTCAGCACCAGGACTTCTCTGGGACATGTGTAGTTTGCAGAAGCAATGCCTTGCTCAGGAGACACTGATCTCTCGTATTCCATAATTTGAAGCTAACTTCTTTTTCCTCCAGACGAGAAGAGATCCTGTATTTATGCTTTGTATTTCCTTGAGTCTCCTGAAGTTGCCTTTTGTGTTTTTTACGTGGGACTTTTTATATTTATTAAATGTTTCTTTAGGAAAACTTTTCCCTATGGTATTACTTGCAGTTCTGCAGCCAGATGTGAAACCTGCCTCACTCAGGAGATAAGTGGTGTTCGTTAAGTGATAAAACTCCATTCAGAGAGGAGAGAGAGAGCACTCAGGTCTCTGATTGTTCTGACAATTGACTTTGATGCATTGTCATTATTTCTGTGTTTATTTGCCTAACAAAGGAGCTTCCAACCTGGCTGGCAGAGCGCTGTGGGGATTGAGAAGCGCTTAGCGTGGCAATATCCACCAGGGGAGTTCTTGCTCTTTGGGATTTAGCCCATGGAATGTTCTGCTGCCTAAAGGAACATCCGCGGTAAAGGAGGAGGATGCCAAGATCCGCTGCGTTCGTGCAGATCGACGGCAGCAGCTCTGCTCTGGGTGACATTTGCGCCTCCGCTGAGATCTTGTGCTGTCTCTCTTTCCGACAGGATGCAGAAGAGACCGCCTCCGAAATCACGGAGCAGGGCCCCTCCGATGAAGCGAAGGGAATCCAAGCCCAAGCCCAGAAAAACCCCCGCGGCCCACCGGGGGAAAGCAAAGCCCCCTCCCAAGGTTAAAACCCCTGCTAAAAAAGCCAAACCAGCAGCCCCAACCATCAAGAAACCCTCCGGTGGCAGCTCTTCCAAGAAACCAGCAGCCAGCGGGAGGAAGGAGGTGAAACCCTCTGCCAAGGGCAAATCCACCATGAGGAAATCTCTCCGGGCAAAAAAGTAAAATTTTTCCACTGTCAGGGAAAATCCCATGGTCAAATCCACCATCTTGTTTTATAAGTCAACGTGCATTTGTATTTTAGTTCTGATGCTTAAACACTTCTTTAATTTTTTTATTTTTTTTTTTCTTGAATGATGGGGGAAAAAGCTGAAAACTAAATCAAACCAACCCGAGCACTTGTTAGATCTCAATGCTGTGCCTCGTGCCTGCCCCTCCCCTGGAACAAGTCATCTTTAGTTTCTGCAATAATTTTAGGACTTTTCTAGGACATATATAATCTGTACATTTTACGGTGTTCCTCTTGGCTTTCGGGGGGGGAGGGTTGGCTTTTAAAAATTCTTCAGAGAAGATCTTTGTATCTTTAGACAGCAGGAACGGGATGATTCGGGGGGGAATTCTCGCCGCGGAAGAGTCCTCCCGAGATCCCCCGCAGGCGAGGTCCTTAACGCTTCGGTGAAGAAGCAGTGTACATACAGCACTTGCACTGAGTCCTGGAGGTGCTTCCTTCCGCTCGGCGCGAGAGCGACGGGCTACGGAGATGGCGCGTTCGGCTCCTTCCACACCGGTGAGGTTCCGGTGAGGTTCCTTGGGCGGTGAGTGCGATCCTGCAGGAAAGGAAACGGAGGCTGCGGCGTCCACCGACCGTCTACCGCGGGTGATTTGAATTAGAGTTTCCACGCCACATCTGTTACCTTCAAACCAAAATATATAAAAAGTCTTCTTGAATCCACCTTGCCGATGTTTTTAAGAGATGAAGAGCCTGAGTTTTGTCACCTCTTGTTTACCCTTTTTTTAAAGAAAAGTTGGAGAGCTATACAATTGCTAATGTAGAGATGTTGATAAGTGAAGAACATGCAGTTTGCTAAAATAAAGTGAAACTAGATTCCAGGCTCGCTTTTTGTGTGTCCTTTCTCTTCCCCACCACAGCTTTCTCCTCCTGGAAACGTAGAGATGAGGGAATTATGGTCACCAAGGATTGCTGCAGAAGCAAATCTTCCTTGCCAGCGTGAAAGAGCGGGGCTGCTGTAGCCTGAGCCCCTGCCAAGCTCTTAGTTGGACGGACTTGTGCCCTTTTTCTTCCTGATTTTTTTCTCTGGAGACAAAGGTGAGCAAGAAGAAAGCTCTGTTTGACCCTCTTGCTGCTCCTCTTCTCCCTCCACCCTCCATCAGTGGCCGGTGGGGACAAAAAAAAACCAGCTGAAATCTTCCCCCCCACTTCTGCCCTGCTCGACAGAGCAGCGCCTGCGTTCCAGTGGCTCTTTCCTGGGACTTCTTGTCCCAAAATAGTGGGGGTTGTCGGCATTTTCCTGCAGGCGGGTGCTACGGCGAGCCAAATTTGAGAGAAAGCTTCTCTCATCGCTGGGATATTTCTGGGGACGAGGAGTCGCATTCCCACACCACCAACCCCACGGATCTGCGTTAAAACTGCTCCGGTTGACATCGATTTTTGGCACGTGAGCAGCTTAATTTTGCTGCGGGGCGCCTGGAATTGGAGCGTC